CAGAAGAGGGTGTGAGTCAGGTGATAAAGAACCAACGTAATGCCCAACAGAAGACATACCACCATAACTTGGGATCAGGTGTCTACCCGACTGCCATTAAGAAGTGGAACAAAATGGAAGCAGACCTTCTTGTCAAGGGTATCACACCCGAATCACTCAAGTGGGGAGAGCGTGCAAAGAATTGGTTTTTTGCTCATGGGGGAACACTGGACCAGGAGACAGGGAAGTGCGTTTATGGTGCAAGACTGCAAGAAGCAGCAGAAAGATTATTTTATGCTCAGAGAGCTACTGCTAGTGGTGCGTTCAGGCCCAACAGAGAGAAGGATGAGCTGACATACGCCATCGGGACTATTGAACATGGTGGCCGAACTAGAGGCAAAGGAAGTGTCTCGTGGGAGCATGGATTCCCTTAGGACAGACCTTCCTACAGAAGCCGCTAGAGAAAGAAGGAAGAAGAGGCACAGCGGCTCCAGAGGTTGGAGGAAGCGGTGCGTGAAGCACAGGAGCGGGAAAAAAACCTTGAAGCGAGAATGCAGGAGGAAATCAGAAGGCAAGTGCAAATAGCAGTGAGTGCAAGCAAGTAGGCATTAGAGCCAGGAATCAACATTAGCCAATATGTTCAGTTGAAAAGCAGCTGCGCTTCCACGGAGATACCAAATCAAGGGGACACAGGACTGCGCTTCCATTTGGATGACGTCACTGAACCTTGTACATCATGTGAGCTACACATTACGAAGGGGAATTCCACAATCAAGGTGGCTATCGGTCTTGTTAATCCTATCGACCGAACCAAGACACCAAGGATTCATGGGAATATAATCCAAGAAGGACATGCTACCATCTCGGTAGATAAAGCTAAAAAAGGTTTTAGTGATTTGCCTCTTGACATTCCTGGAGGTGATGGCGAGAAGACTCTAGGAGAAGCAGAGACGACATTCATTCTATATGGCGCAAGCGCTACATCATCATTCCCGGGATGTCGGCTCCACCTCCTCCTGAACTACCTCACCATAGGTGCGGATGAAAACACTACATCATTAATTTATATTGGCTTAAATAATTAACAATCTGCTCATAATAATATGTCATTCCTTTTTTTGTAGCAGATCCTCCCCCAACCTAAATCCAATTGTTCAATCGCCAGATCATCATAGTGCTCTGTACGATGACATTGTGTTGGAAGGCGAGGCTGCATCCACACCATCTCCAAGGAGGTCTCCAACGCCACAGCCGCCACCTCCAAGGAGGTCTCCAACGCCGCTGCCACCACCTCCAAGGAGGTCTCCAACGCCTCCCCCGCCCCCGCCTACCAAGAAGCCAAGTGCTAGCAAGAGGCCAGCCCCGCAAACGAAGAACCAGTCCCCGCCGACAAAGAAAGCCACCGTGAAACCAAGGGCTATTCCCAAAATAATATCTGAAGAGAAGGAAGAAGGAACTGATGCATATAAAAAAGATATGTCCAGATTCTATGACAAACTTAAAAAGAATTAAGAAGCAAGGAGAAACCCGAAGAAACCGTACTTCTTCGTAGCTCCAGATATTCTAAGAAAAAAGGTGGCTTCTTACCATCAACAACAGCGGGAATCTCGTAAGCCGTCCAAATCAACGTTAACGGACTATGACCGCACTCTCACCAAGTCAATTGAGGCGGCACAGAAAAAGAAGCGGGCAGGAAAAGGAGTTGCCCAACTCGGACAACAATCACACCAATTAGTCCCCCCGCTAGTTGTTGGTAATGAATATGATTCGAATTTAGGATTAATGCATCAGGCAAACATACCTCCGGATGTCGATTTGGATCACCTTGGTGAATTTATTGATGAGACTGGTCTCGACCTTTACCAGATGTTTGGTGATGGAAACATTGAGAGTGCGGCGGAGGTTGATATTTGAAAGAAAAAATTTGTACTAGGCCAGAGTCTATACAACCCTCAAGCCTTATCTGATCTGGGGACGCAAATGTACCTACTAAACAAGTGGTACATGCAGGCGTCTACCGGTGGAGACTTCTGCGTTGGTGTCAGAATTAGAGACGAACATTGGTTCCGTGGCGATGATGTTATGTATGTTGACTTTGCAGAATTTCATCAACTATGCCACCTGACCTCTCTGGACAAAGTTATCATTAGCTGCTATTGCCTGTAAGTAATAATTCTTTCGATCTATTATTAAACTCATCATATGTGTGTATATACATATAAATTATCCTAACAAGTACTATATATATGCAGATTTACAATGACAGAGCTCAGAAAGGTAGGCTGCAATGAAATTGGTTTTGTTGATCCCCATATAGTATTCAAAGACCCAGTTACTCCAAAGACTAATTGGAAGTCTGAGTCAGGAGAGTAACCTCATGACTTCTTAGTGGAACAAACCCCACAAGAAGGATATACTCTTTCCTACAACTTCAAGTGAGTGTTAATAATGTCGATCATCCTTAATGGCTCATATGTTGATTCTAGTTAATTAATGAGTGTTATGCGTTATATCCTATAAACACATGCAGCAATCACTGGATATTGATGGACATCGATCTGGTGAAAAGTCACTTGATAATCTATGACTCGATGAGAAAACCACAACAAGACTACTAAGATATGATAGATATTATCCAGAGGTAATTTTGGTATCTCTAGCAACTATATATACACACAAACATGATGATTAACTATATCTGATGACGTGGCAAATTTTTTATTGGGCAATGTTTGGAAAACCTTTATTGAGAAGCAACACATGGGAAAATGCAAAGCGCCACTGAATGTAATCCCTTTGAAAGTAAGTCCCCTAAATCATATCATCTTTATTAATTAAACATATAGCTTTCACTGGATCACCAGATTGGATGACAAATCTTTTTCTCGTAAAGTGGTGTCTGAGGCAGGAACAGGGGAACAACTACTGTGGTTACTATGTTTGCAAGTTTATCAAGGTGGTCTCCCAAAGAACTCCTACAGAGAGACTCAAAGTACGTTAAAAATACACTATATATTCATTCAATTATTATTATTGATTGTGTTACTATGTCTTTATATATATATATATGTACATATATTAATTTATTTTCTTTTAATTCAAACCTGTAGGCTCGATGGTTGGAGGAAAAGGTCAATCGGCAAGACCAAATCGAAGCAATTCAAGAGTCTATAGCCGGATTTTTTAATGAGCAGGTCATCGATTCCAAGGGCGAGTTCTACTTCGACCCAACACTGCCATGGAAGCCAAGCTAGAGGATGAGAGAAAACTTGTTATATCACAACAATTGTAATGCAATCTTTTGTAATATATGCACATGAAATAATATAATGTAAAATACACATATGCATGCATGCATGTAAATATATATATATATATATATATATATATTTCTATGCTTGAATTGTGTGATTTAATATGTTCATTGTGCTTGAACCGAAACATACTATACGCGCGTATAAATGTATAATTAGCAGCGTACAATACGACTTCGAAAACCTGTTTTGAAAAGAAAACAAAAAAATGAAAAGAAAAGAAAAAAGAAAAAAACCTTTAGTCCCGGTTCGTATTACCAACCAGGACTAAAGGTGCCGGCCATCGTGGCATATCAGGAGAAACCGGGACTAGAGAGGGTTCCTCACCGAGAGTAAAGCTCTGTTCTCTACCGGTGGGTAAGCAAACAAGCATCATTACTAGCTGTATCTGCCTAGCGCTCTGGCTAGCTAGATAAGATTTGGCTTTGCTCTGACAAATCATTTTGGGTTTGGTTGGCTGCCACCATATAACATGCACATGTCTTGCCAATATTGAATCCAACTTGTGTGACCCAGCTAGGCAGATATATAGATCACTACTGCAGTGCAGGTGGAGATCCCAATGCACTTAACTCTTTTAGTAGTATAACATAAAAATAAATGTCATGTATAAACAAATCCATAGTAATGTTCAAAAGAGTAGTCTTTCAAGACCAACAATATTATATCCTGTTGTTTAGGTACTTTATTCCATGATCGAGCAGCATAGATTATTGAATACGTACAGATCGTAGATTTGCATAGATCCGTCTCATCGTCTTGAGTAGAAGCGAGTTGTGTAGTGGGAATTACTCCCTCCATCCCACAATTTGAACGTCTTACAATTTGGGATGAATTGAGTAGATAGTATCCTCATCATGCTCAGACCTCCTGGCTGTCATCACACAACTCCTGCAATTGAGCATCTTTTTTTTTTATAGTAGAAAGATGCCCTGAAATAAAAAACAGTCATACGTTCAAATGATCTGTGAGCTCCATTTAATTATAAGAAAAATAATGCCATATACTTGGGAACACTAGACTACTCCGTACTAGTGAATGGCGTATTATATACTCCTACTCCTACAAGATAACCGTGAACAGTGAGGGCCTGTTTGGTTACTGATTAAAATTTAGTCACCTTTTTAGTCTAACCCTGGATCTAGAAGGAGCTAAACTACTTTAGTCACTTTTTAGTCACCCGTTTAACATGTTAGGGACTATATATATAAGAGTGACTAAAGTTCAGTCGGCCTAAACCCAACAGGTCCTGGAACGAGCGCAGTAGGTCAGGAAGCTTTGTACGGCGACAGTCAACGCAGCAACTATCTCATCCGTTACTTTCTGATTCAACGGCCCTCCCTCGCTGAGGACTGTAGAGCATTCAATACCTCCAACCCAATGCAGAGGATCTGGATCGTATTGCATTCAAAACGCTTTAGTGCTTGACGACGTGGGTGGCCCCACCACGGCCACGGTTTGTCGCGGCCGTTGCGGCAAACCCGCCATTATTGCGGTAACCGAGCGCGGCTTTCGTTGTGGCTTCTCCTTGTCTTCCCCGCCGGCCCACGTGGCGCTGCCACCTCGGCTATATATGCGACTCTTTTGATCTCTTCCCCCTACTCCACTCCGGCAATCTCACTCTCAAGAAAAAGGAAAAAACTCTTTCATCTCCCTCCCTTGCCTCTCCACCCTTTCCTATCAGGGACCGGGACAAGACTTGGTGGCATGGCGGTGCAAGCGCAGTTCGTGTTCAGCGGCCTCGCCGGGTGCTTGCTGCCCTATGGCAGCGGCGGATTGGCCGAGGAGCAGATCCAGGCGCTCATGTCACCCGCCGCGGGCAACAAACCGCACCGGTACAAGTACAACCGAGCGGCCGGCGTGGCCAGCGCCGCGCAGAGCGACCTGACGTGCAACGGCGGCGCGGGCGTGGTGCCGCCGTCGCGGAAGCGCGGCAGGGACGCCGAGCACGAGCAGTATGTGCCGTCGTCCTCGTCGACGGCGGCGCTACTGCCGATCCCGGGGACGCACATGCACCAGGCGATCGCTGGACACCAGTTGCCGCCGGCGCTCGGCGCGGCGACGACTGCCGACCGGTTGGCCGAGTCCGCGACGACGTCGACCAGCGGCCGCCCGGCGTCTGGAGCGGGCGCGCTGGTGTCGGAGCTGCTGCGGCAGCACGGCGCAGAGATCGACGCGCTGGTGCGGGCCGAGTGCGACCGGCTGCGCGCCGGGCTGGAGCAGGCGCAGAAGCGCCAGTGCCTTGCTCTGGCGCGTGCCGCCGAGGCAGCCGCGGTGCCCGCGCTGCGGGAGGTGGAGGCCGAGCTGGCCGCCGCGCGCCGCCGCGCCGGGGACCTCGAGGAGCTGCTCCGGCAAGCGGCCACCGAGAGCCAGGCGTGGTGCGGGCTCGCGCGCAGCAACGGCGCCGTCGCCGCGGGGCTCCGCGCCGCGATCGACGCGGTGCTCCTGCAGGGTGCCGGCGCCGGCGGTACTGGTACTGGTACGGCGCGGCCCGCCGCCGAGGAGGGCTTCGGCGACTCCGGCGGCACGGACGACGACGCGCAGTCGTGCTGCTGCGCGGAGGCGGTCGACGCCACCGCCGCCACGGCCTCGGCCTCGTCGTCGTGGAACGACAGGTGGGCGTGCAAGGCGTGCGGCGAGGGCGAGGTGTCGGTGCTGCTGCTGCCGTGCCGGCACGTGTGCCTGTGCAAGGCGTGCGAGCCGCGGACGGACGCCTGCCCCGTCTGCCTCGGCGCCAAGAACGCGTCCATCCACATCGCGCCCAACTGATGGCCACCGTGCAGCAAGTCGCTGCCTTGCGTGGCGTGTCAATTGGATTGGCCCCGTAGGGTTCGTGAACTAACTTAGATGAGTAATTAGGATTACTCGGTTATTACATTAGATAGATTCAATCTCGTTTGTTTGGTTTGTTCGCTCTTCTTTTTTGATGGACGATTGAATGAAAAATGAGAAAGAAAGACGAGCTGTCAAGTACTAAAAACGAGGCATCCTTCATCGTTGCTCTGTTTTCTCAGCGTACTTGTTGTTCTGGATTTTCATTCCTTCTGTTTTTTTTTAAAACAGTTATGATTTTAAACAGGTATATGACCTACTTAATTTAATGTTACTTATTTGTTTTTTTAAAAAATGGTGACATAAACATGGTGGTTGTCACCGTAGCTAGACTTTCGTTCATCTTGACAGCGGCTGTCCATCTGGATTGCTGCCCGGCTACGTGCTATCACGATCCAATCTGCCACGTTTTCCGAGGTCACCTATGGTGCGTGGGTGTGGGGGTGGTGGCGCAGATGCAGAAAAATATGTTGGTGTCATAAAACATGTTGCTATTGTTAGGATCTGTCTTGCAAGAACAACATAGTGAATAGAAGTAGAATATATAGACAAAAGAGATAGGAAAACTATTATTTATTCCTCTTAATATTGGTGATTACAACATAGATCTTCTATATATATATATATATATATATATATATATATATATATATATATATATATATATATATTTCTGTCAAGATCTAAGAGTTTTGGTAAGAGCCCACATACAAACGTACTAGATTAGGATTCCTCCTTCTCCTTTCTTTTTAGATAGAGTTCGTATGTTTTACAACACTTTTTCTTGGGCGATTACCACGATATGCACATGTCTCATTAAAAACTTCATCTAAAAATCCAGTGGGAAAAACAGTTCTTGTAGAAAAGAATACATCGCACTTGTTAATTGCATTGCATATGTTGTCTCATTAAAAATCTTGGGTGAGAAACCTTCAAGTAAAAACTCACATAGGGAAAAAGAGTATAACATTTAACCTTCTTAACCATATATTCTTTAGGGTATTCTATTCTTTGTAATAGATATTGATCTTCATGATCTACGCATAAACTTTAGTGTTTTAGCAAATATGATCTACTTGATCTTTATAATAAAAGTGGTTTTACCTTTATGGTAGAGTCAATAAAAATATGCTCCCCCTCATAAAACCAAATTTTGAACTTCATTGTTCAAACCACACTTTTCATAAATGCGTGCTTAATTAATGGTATGCAGTAGCACAATGCTATATCTTTCAAAAAGTTGGCTCATAATTCTTTTATAAATTACATGGGAAAAACAAGAGCAATATGCTTCATGCATAATAACCACTTATTAGTTGTGCAAAACAAATAAATTTTATCCTTCAAGGTAATAAATCCTTTCAGAGGATTTTGTGGGTAAATAAGTTACAATATTCAATATCCAGATAGTGCATCAAACTTATACTAGATTTTGAGTACTTATAATTCTTTCCTAGTGGATTTTTAAATTATATGTTCTAAAAGTCTTTAGGATTTTGATTGTACCCCTAAATGAATCCAGTCTTGCATTTGGCATATAGAGAATAATTCAATTGTCAAAGTCATCATTATTCTTATACCTTCTATGGTATTTAGAGGATATCATCACTTCATTGTGAGCCTTTCAATATAGATTTTCTAAGTGTTTGTATGACACCTTCATGGTGTTTAAGATTCCTCATTTTCTTTCTCTCGGGTCTCTATTCACTTCAGGGATTAATGATGTTTATTCAATAATCGATTGGTAAATTCTTCATGGATTAACTCCTTCAAGGACTTTCTTATTTTTGGTGAATAACATTTCTCTTCTATGCGATATATTCTCTACTACATGAGAGATTATTATGTGATATACACAATGAAATAGTGTTATTCACTATAAAGTCATTCGATGACTCTATTCCTTCTAGGATAGGCTCTTCTTGAGACTTCAATATTCATCATGAATATATTCTATCTTAGACTTCTTAGTACTTGTATAAGATTTAATTTTCATATGTTGCGATTTATATTCTTTAGGAATTATTTGGATTTTCATAATCCACTTATTAACTGCATATTTCATAATCATTAAATTCATTTGCCAGAGATATAGCAAAACATTTATTTCTTCTTAGTAGGAGATTCAACCTCAATTGCTTTCTTCATTGACCCGATATATAATCGCTACAGGTGACTTTGCCATGGACTTTGTTTTCTGGATTTGAGTTCTTATAAGAGAAGCATTTGCAAATATAGAGGTAGCGTTGTCGACAATTATTATTTTCTCCCAATATTCTCATAATATGAGATTATTCTGTCTCTTTGTTATTTCCCAAACAAGAGATGATATGTTGTTCTGCATACCCAACACAAATGATGCGCATGCTTAGTGTGTTGGATTTCATCTTCATGATGATTCTCTTTCATGATGTGCTTAACCTTCTTCATGAAGTGTTCTCTTCATGAGAATGGAGGAGTTTGTTCTTATTTTATTTGACAAGTATATATTAAACTAGAATCCACAGGTGTCCTCGTAGATTTTAGCTTGATAGTATATAATATTTAGTTTACTACTAGTAAACACAACTTCTGGTTTATAACTTTAAGCTACTTTTCTCATTTTTCAAAAATATCTAACATATGCTCCGCTTCATGCTTCACAAGAGCATTAGTCAAACTATTGTTTGATTTAGTGCGTGATATTGTTCCTACTTCAAGTTTCGAGAAATATTTTCTTTAGATCATTTTCCTTTTGTGGAAATAATATTTGGCATTCAAAATAGGTTTTCTCTTCCCCTAATGCCAATATTAGATCTTTAATAGCATACTTCAAAAGATATCCCTCATCATGGGCTTAAAATAATCAAATTCATGCATCTCCAACTACAAGCGGAGGCCCATTCATGTATGCTATGATGAAATTTTATGGGAAATAGTCACGCACATATTTAATCATGGGAGTTAGTCTTCATTAAATGCAGCAAGCTAGAATACATAAAATACACTTAAGAATGTTTAGCATCCAATAAACTCAGGGTTGTTCTTCCCCTAATTTGCACATATCATAGTTTAAAAAACTATTTCATTGTCTAGTTTCTTTATTGTTTAGCAAAAAAAATTTGATCCAATTACTCATACATAATTAGAAAAAATGGATCATATACTTTAAATGTATAAATACACAACATTCAAAATTACATAAAATTTCTTCTATAATTTTCTAACCAAATACCTTTTCTTCATAAATCCCAAATCATTATTAAGTGTTTTATCTATTAACTCAATTTTCACTATAATTCAGTCCATTTAAGTGGGTCACTTCTCCATTTAGCCAATTTTAGATTGGTCATTTTAGATTAACCAACTCCCCCTGATCTTAGGCTACTTGGCTCTAGACCAATCTATTGCTTATGCATGCGATGCAATGAAAGCAAAATATTCCTTAGTTCAACGAGAACTATATAGACATAGCATACTAGCTAGCCAATGTAATTACAAGAGAAGTGCAAAGGTAGCTACTAGCTACAGCCTCTTCGTCTCTCATGATCAACATAGTAGATGAAAGTAGAAGAATAAATAGACACAAGATAGAGAGACTATTCTTTATTGCTTTAAATATTGATGATTACAATATAGAGCTCCCACGTATATATAGCCTTGCTAAGGCCTAAGAGTTTGGTAAGAGCCCACACATAAACGGACTAGTATTAGGCTTCCTCCTTTCCTTCTAGGATAGAGTCCGTATGTTTTACAACACTCCCCCTTAGGCAATTATTACGATATGCACAAGCCTCATTAAAAACTCCATCCGAAAACCTAGTGGAAAAAATGAATCTTGGAGAAAAGAGTACATTACATTCGTTAATTGCATTTGCACATGTTGTCTCATTAAAAACCTTGTGTGAGAAACCTTCAAGTAAAAACTCATAGGAAAAAAGACACTACACCATGATCCACTTTTACCTACAATTATGTGTTGGTAAATCAAGGTTTCCACAACAAGTAATGTGTTGGTAATTCTTTACCTTTTTAGCGTCACTTAAAGTGTCGGCAATAGTAATATAAGGCTACAACTTATATGTCGGCGTTTCTCCTTCCAACACATAAAGTGTCGGCGAAAGATTTTAGACAAAAAAAGTGTCGTCGTAGCCTACCTAAACCACTATCCAAGTGTTGGCGAAGGGGTACGCGCCGAAGCAAAATAGAGATGCTTGTGTACGTGGGTGGGAGACCGAGTGCCAAAACAGAACTGTGCGCGGGAGCTAAAAGGCTGAATATTTTTTTGATTGGGAAAACACTAGAGGCCACTAAAACAGGCTGCCAACCCTTCATCTCTTGCTCCCTTCCCCTTTCCACTCAGGCAGACTCAGGAAAAAAAACTCGCTCTTACCAGGGCATAGTCGCCGGGCACCGCCACCACAGCTCGGCGCCGCCACCATAGCTTTGACGTCGGGCGCCGCCATCAGGGCTCCGCTGCCGGGCGCCGCCAGGAGTCGCTGCCATAGGCTAGCACCTGTCACGGCCGACACCCCTGACGCCCTCCCAAATAGCTGCCTCCCAATCACGCCGGGGCCGAAGTCGTCCCTGGCCGGAGCCCCATAGCCTACAGCGGTGGGCCCCCACCGCCGAATCCAACAGACGCCGTCGCTTACCCCCGCCCGCCCACCCGCCATCACCCTAGCCCACCACCGGCCAAGAAGAAGCGGTGCCGCCACTGCATCCCCATTCCCCTCGCATCCAAGTGCATCATCTCCGCATCCCCTTCCTCTCATCCCCATTCCCCTGCGTGCTAGGGTTTCGACACAGCTTACTTTTTTTGTATTTTTTTTCTTGGTTGCAGAAAGGAGTAGACAAAGGTGAGAAAGGCTGCAAAGATTCAATGTTTGGGTTACTTCTCTTGCCCGCCATCTCTTCCCCTCTTTGGAGAATCAATTTAGATGTGATGTTTACTGCCT